AGAGCTTGTCCGCGTACGCATCGCGGACATGTTATTGTCTAGAGTCCACTTAGGGGTCGTAGATGCCCTTGAAACCACCTAAGCAGAATCTGATGACTTCGAACCGCCTCTGTTCAAAACGCCGTCACGATCAGATGCATGTCACATCGGCTTTGGGGCAGCGAGTAGAGGTGAAAGGCATGGGCAAGGCCATGTTCAAGGGTGCTGATGGGAAGATGGTGGGCCTCAAGAACGTGCTTTGGGTGCCCAACCTTGCTGCCAACCTGATTTCCGTGCGGTGGTTGCAAAAGGCCGGCATGGACACGAGCTCGAAGGGAGCCAAGACCTACACCGCAAGGATTGGCGAGCGGATTCTTTGGGACCTTCACAAGGATAGGGATGTCTACAACGAGATGTGGCAGATCCCTGTGGTCCCCATGCCTAAGGAGAGGCAAGTGGCAGCAAACATCAGCACCAAGGGTGAAGCGGTTGGTAGCGGCGATGGCGCGAAGGGTCGTGCTAAGGAGATTGAGTCCAAGAAGTGCAATCTTGGAGGGACCAGCAAGCTCGGTGAACACGAGGAGAGTGGTGCAGCAGCAAAAGGGTGAGGAGAACCCCAAGGCAGCAGCGGAGGAGGAGTACGGAGAGAGCATGTGGGGCACTATTGCGAGTGCGGCATTCTCCAATCCGACTTCGGCTATGGGGGAGTGTGATTGGCTCACCTTGCATCGGCGAATGGGGCATGCCGCCCTGCCCATCTTGCAGCAGCTAGTGAAGAATGAGATGGTTGCTGGCATACGTGTGAAGGGGGAGCCCGATGAGGTACTTGGCTGCCCGACATGCATGCAAGCCAAGTTCACCCGTTTCCCGTTCTCTAGTTCGGAGGCAACGGCTAAGGCACCACTTGATGAGGTGGTGATGGACGTGGTGGGCCCCCTGAAGCTTGGAGCTGCTGGAGCAGAGTATTTCCTCACCATAATCGACGTCTACACCCGCATGACTTGGGTGTACATGCTGTCCAAGAAGAGCGACGTGGCTGAAACGGTGAAGACCGATTGGTTGCCGTTGGTGGAGCGGCAACAAGTCCGGTTAGTGAAGGCAATTCGCACCGATCGAGGGGGAGATTTCCTGAGCAAGGAGTTCTCATTGTGGCTGAAGATGAATGGCATAAGGCACTCCCTTACCATGCCATACTCCCCTGCAATGAACGGCATCGCCGAGCAAGCGAACTGGACAATCACCGAAACGGCGCGTGGGTTGCTCATTGAAGCCGGGCTCCCCGACTATTTCTGGCCTGATATAGTGCGGAGCGCGTGTGTGGCCAAGAACAGAGCCTTGACTCATGTGGGAGCAGAAAAATGGGTGCCCTATGTGGAGTGGATTGGAAGGAAGCCAAAGGTGGATATGCTTCGGGTGTTCGGGTGCATGTGCATGGCGCTCGTGCCTAAGCATCTTCGGCACGACAAGTTCGGTGCTAAGGCGATATAAACTGTGCACTTGGGCATGGCTCAAAACAGCAAGGGGTGGCTTCTTTAGGGCCCATTCACGAAGAACATTTTGGTGAGCAGAGACTGCAAGTTCATGGAGAATCTGATGTACAAGGATTGGAAGGCGGAGAATGAGGTGAAGATAGGCATGCGGTTTGGGGAAGTCAAGAGTTCCAGTTTGGAGCATGTGGAGCTGCCTTTGGAGCTGAGCAGCAGCAGCACCACCACAAGGCAATCTTCCCTTGTGAATGGGGGAGAGGAGGCCAAGGATGTAGAGGAAGAAGAGGAGGAGGTGCAGCAAGTGAGCGAGCATGCACCGACACTTCCTTCTCGCACTATGAGTGCTTCACGGATCCGAGTCACCCCGCAGCAACGCCAAGGCCTTCATGTCCTTGCAGCTGAGGAGGAAGGAAGGGGCAAGAGGAGAACTCAAGCCCCTAATAGGCTGACCTATGATGCATTGGGAAAGCCAGCTTAGTCAGCTCTGGCCGGAACGGCACTTATGGTTGGAGATGACGAGGAGAGTGACTACGAGGAGTGTGCCTTCACGTTCTTCTCTCCGGTGGAGATGCCGGGGGAACCAGCAACTCTCAAGGAGGCCTTGGAGAGTAGTGATGCTGAGAAGTGGAAGAAGGCAATGGAGAGTGAGCTGAAGAGCATTGAAGAGAACGGCACATGGGAATTGGTTGAGCTACCGGAGGGGCGTGAGGCGATTACGTCCAAGTGGCTCTTCAAGATCAAGTCCGACGCCGATGGCAAAATCGAGCGCTACAAGTCTAGGCTTGTAGCCAAAGGGTACCAGCAGAAGGAGAAGGTAGACTATAAGGAGTTATTTGCTCCTGTGGTGAAGCCGACGACGCTGCGAACCCTACTTGCGGGAGCTACCATCAAAGGATGGGTGGTGAAACAAATGGATGTGACAACGGCATTCCTCAACGGCGTCCTAGAGGAGGAGATCTTCATGGCGCAGCCAGAGGGGTTTGATGATGGTAGTGGCAGAGTGTGGAAGCTGAAGAAGGTGCTCTATGGGCTCAAGAAAGCCTTTATGCATTGGTACTTGAAGCTGCGTGAAGTCTTGGAGGAGACCGGGCTCATTCCCTCATCCGCCGATCATTCCTTGTTCATGCTTGGCGTGGGGGAGCAGAGGAGTTTCATGATGGTTTTTGTGGATGACATCCTCATTTTCTCACCCTCCTCTGACCTTGTGAAGGAGGTGATGCTGAAGCTTCAAGACAAGTTCAAGTGCAAGGCCCTTGGTGACGTGAGCTTCTACCTCGGGCTCCACATCGAACGAGATGTGGAGAAACGGTGTATGCGTCTACACCAACGGAAGTACCTGGAGGCCTTGGCTGCCAACTTTGGGCAGAGTGAAGGCCATGTGGCTACTCCATTCCCTTCTGGGTTTAAGTGTTTGAAGGGATCAGAGGAGGAGAGCGTTGGAGAAGAGGAGAGGCGCCGTTTTCACTCGTTGGTGGGCAGCCTCATGTACGCGGCGTTAAACATCCGACCGGACGTCGCCTTTGTTATCGGGCAGCTGGCTAGGGTTGTTCAGTGCCCTAATGAGGAGCATTTAGCAGTTGGAATGAGGGTGGCCAAGTATCTTGGCCAAACAGTTCCTAAGGGCTTTTCTCAGCCCAACACTTCTGACAGCACTTGCTGACTGGACGCGCAGCCTGTGCAGGGTTTGAACGCGAAGGAAATCTGATTTTCAACTCATCGCCTCCTAAAGTGAACTTAGTTACAGTGATTTGACAGTTTTTCAATTTGAAAACTAACATGTGCTTATAATAAATCATGTTTTTTAAGGGGGTGCGCTTATAATTGAGGATCGGGCATAAGCGCATTGCTCCAGATAGAAGCGCATGCGCTTTTAATAGGCCTGCGCTTCTATCCGGGGTGATACGGTATACCTTCCCCATTTATTGATGCTGTTTTTGGTTTCCAATTAGGGCATGCAAAAAGCTTATCAGGCTGTGTGGGTGATGAAAGGGTAATCACTTTAACAACAGTGAACACTCCTGAAATTGTCTGAATTATTACCTACGGTACATGGCCAGCGCTACTTGCTGGACTCTAAATAGGCACGCATCACTTTGAATGTACCACATAGGACCCAACTGATGCATCAGGTGGGCGTTACAAATCCTACAAAGGACCTTGACACCCGTTTTACATGAGAGAGCAGTCAGCAGGGAGGTCCCCTCCTTGCAGCATGTCAGGCAGCCTGCAGCATACCAGACCACGAGGGTGTGATTCCAAGGAGGATGAGCGAGGGCCTTTTGTGATCCAGACCAGACGAAAAGGGGGATGCGATGCATTGATAAGAGATAAGCTGGCTGTGCTCTTCCCTCAGAGCAGCCAATACGGCGGAAGTCCCTCATACCAGTATGTGCTGCAATCTGCACCACAAGGGTGTGAACCCAAGAGAACAGCACCACGAGGGTGTGAACCCAAGAGAACAGCACCACGAGGGTGTGAACCCAAGAGAACAGCACCACGAGGGTGTGAACCCAAGAGAACAGCACCAAGAGGGTGTGAACCCAAGAGAACAGCACCACGAGGGTGTGAACCCAAGAGAACAGCACCACGAGGGTGTGAACCCAAGAGAAGAGCACCAAGAGGGTGTGAACCCAAGAGAACAGCACCACGAGGGTGTGAACCCAAGAGAACAGCACCACGAGGGTGTGAACCCAAGAGAACAGCACCACGAGGGTGTGAACCCAAGAGAACAGCACCACGAGGGTGTGAACCCAAGAGAACAGCACCACGAGGGTGTGAACCCAAGAGAACAGCACCACGAGGGTGTGAACCCAAGAGAACAGCACCAAGAGGGTGTGAACCCAAGAGAACAGCACCACGAGGGTGTGAACCCAAGAGAACAGCACCACGAGGGTGTGAACCCAAGAGAAGAGCACCAAGAGGGTGTGAACCCAAGAGAACAGCACCACGAGGGTGTGAACCCAAGAGAACAGCACCACGAGGGTGTGAACCCAAGAGAACAGCACCACGAGGGTGTGAACCCAAGAGAACAGCACCACGAGGGTGTGAACCCAAGAGAACAGCACCACGAGGGTGTGAACCCAAGAGAACAGCACCACGAGGGTGTGAACCCAAGAGAACAGCACCACGAGGGTGTGAATCCAAGAGAACAGCACCACGAGGGTGTGAACCCAAGAGAACAGCACCACGAGGGTGTGAACCCAAGAGAAGAGCACCAAGAGGGTGTGAACCCAAGAGAACAGCACCACGAGGGTGTGAACCCAAGAGAACAGCACCACGAGGGTGTGAACCCAAGAGAACAGCACCACGAGGCTGTGAACCCAAGAGAACAGCACCATGAGGGTGTGAACCCAAGAGGAGGGTGTGAACCCAAGAGAACAGAAAGATGAGGGCAGTCAGACAGAAGCAAAGTGGCAAGGACGGAGTGCGGGAGCGTGAAAGAGGCAGGCGAATCCAATGCAAGAGAGCAATCATCAACAGAAAGAGGACCGAGTGTAAAAGCGAGTGAAAAGCAAAAGAGCTAGCGGCACTCACACAGGCAGGCCGTCTGCCCCCATCTCCAGCCCCGGAGCAATCTCCTTGATCATCTCTGGAGGCGGCTGCCCACACGCCTGCATGTCGCCCATCACCGCCATGATCGCCTCAAAGTCGCCCGGCCGCTCCTCGTACAGCGCGCACAGCTGCCCGATGGCGCGCTGCTGCCGCTCATACCGCGCCAGGTCGGCGGGCGGCAGGGAGGCGGCGTTGGCGGCGAGCCAGGCGGGGTAGCGCGCATGGAGGTCCCTCATTGGGCCGTGCAGCACGTCCTTTGAGAGCAGCTGCTGCATCACCGCGTCCATGAGCCCCGCCATGTCCTGCACAGAGGGGGGGGCGCAGAGAGGATGGCAGAGACGAAGAGGGGCTGTATGCATGACTCATGAGATGGTTCATCAGCCCTGTGTGAGCAGCTGCTGCATCACCGCGTCTGCATGTTTTGCTGTGGGGGAAGGGGGGGAGAGGAAGAGGTGGAGGAAGAATGTGATGACTGGTGCATCCATGAGCCCCTGTGTCTTATGGGACGTGGACACTGAGGAGAGAAGAGGACGGACGGAAGCTTGCAGCAAAAATGCGACAGCAGCTGAGTGCCCGCACCACGCACCTGGGTGCCAGGTCTCACCTGGGTGCCCATGTCCTCAAACTGCTTCACCAGTCGCTCCACCACCGCCTCATCCAACTCCTCCCCTTCCCCTCCCAACCCTTCTAGCCCCCCCAGCCCGCCCAGCCCTGGCAAGCCCGCCCCTAGCCCTGCAGGCACTCCCCCCACTGCTCCTCCCCTCCCCCTTGCCGCATCTTCCCCTTCCCCAATGCCACTGACGGTGCGCTGTGTCTGCTGCTGCAGCTGCTCCAACGTCGATGATATCCCCCCGCCCCCGCTGCTGCTGCCCCCACTCCCACTCGCACTCCCGCCACCACTACCACTGTCACTTGTCTTACCACCGTCGCCAGCAGCAGCAGCCTTGGCCTTGCTCGTGCCTGCAACGCCGCTTCTCTTCTTCCTCGCTGGCAGCGACGGCAGGCCCCCTCCCAGCCCCAGCCCCACCGGAGCTGCTGCCGCTGATGCAGGCGCTGCTGCACCTGCGCCTGTTCCTGGCGCTGCGGGGCTTGACCCTACGTGTGCCTGCTCGCGGGCGAGTCCTGCTGCTGCGGACGCGCCGAGGGCGAGTGGCATGGCAGGCGACGCGGCAGCTGGCAGTAGGGGCGTTGGTGTGTGGGAAGCGGGGCCAGCGGCGCTGCTGCTGGTGGCGGTGGTGGCGGCAGAAGTGGCGGCGGCCGCAGGTGCTGGCGGGTCTTGACGAAAGTCCTCAAGCGCACCTGACGGGTGGAGCATGGCGCATGCGAGACGGGCGGCGCGTGAAAGGGGGGAGGGAGGGACGGGAAGTGGGGAGGAAATGAAAAGGGGAGGGTGGGAAGGCGGGAGGGAGGGAATGGGGGAGGGAGGGAAGGGGAGGGGAAGAGGGGAGAGAGGAAGGATGGGGGAAGGGAGGGAGGGAGGGAGGGAGGGGAGGAAGAGGGGAGTGGTGAGTCCGGCTGGAAGATGCGGCAGTGAGAGCGTGGGGAGCTGCGGCGGAAGTTCGCGAGTGCACGTGGGACCATGATGGGCCATGGGCGATGGCCGAAAGAGGGAAGAAGGAGCGAAACGGCGAGAGTGGGAGGAACGCGAGGCGGATCTAGGGCGGAAAAGCGCTCGAGAAGGGGAAAGCGGCGACGAGCGGCGGGACTGATGAAAGCAGAACGACGCGGGGCCGCGAGGATGCATCCCGGCCGTTCATTTGTGTGTGAGAACCACTTGCATGCATTCTGGACGGTTCGCAGCGAATCTTGGCCGAATACTGCTCGTGTTGACGGATCCGTATACTATGGAGGCTGAGAGCAGCATGTTAAGGAGAGTGGCAATAAGCGTAACGTACTCTCGAGAAGGTCGTCCAAATCGTCCACCGACGAATCCATGGCGCACCGCGACACCACCGGCGACGAGACCACCGGCGACGAGACGCAGAACCAGAGGATACCAGGCGGCGGTGATTGGCGTCGATTAAGTCGACTCAAGGAATCCAACGGGAGCGAGACGCGGAGGTGGCGTGGGGACGAACTCAAGCGATGACAAGAACCAACGGGGGTCCTAGCGGCATCCGCTCCTCGTCTAGCTTCCCATAGCGGGTTCCCTAGCGATATCTCCGTCTGCAATTCCACGCGAACTAATTCGACGCTCTAGTCGGGCGATGGAACGGAAAATCGCCGTTGAGGAAGTCGGGTATTGCGGCGCTGTGACAGGGCTTGCTGGAAGATGACCCGGAGGCACGAAGTTGCTGTTGGCAAAAGAATGACACAAACGACTCTTTCGCTATCGCCCCTTCACTCGCGAAGGCTCATTGGTAGAACATGCGAAACTAGCTCGCACGTACGAAGCGGGGCAATTGGACGTCGCTGCGAAACGAGTGGGTCGTTGAGCGCTGCTTTGACTCACTTCAACATCGGGTAACCACATCCTTCTTTCAGACCTTTTTCGCCAAACGGCCAGATTGTACAACGTTTCATACATTTGCAGCATCTGCATCCATTTCCATCATGTTCAGTTCGGTCGAGGCAATACGCGCTTTTGCTTCAGCCAGCGAGCTGCAAGCAGCCGAGCATGAAGCGACAACTGATTGACTACCGATTTGAGCGACAACGCAAGCCTGTCATCTCGTCTGCTGCCTTCCGTGGCAAAGTGCCGATCGGTCACTAACTCCCAGCGACTCCCTCCTTCTCGCCGTCCTTGACCAATCATAACGCGCCGCGTGTATTTTCAACGGCGCCAGCCCTAGATCCAAAGCACCTTGGCTCTGCGTATTTGCTGCGCCCGCGGACGAGTCTGCGAGGCAAGAGGCACTTGGTAAGGAGTCGAGAGGGTGTGTGAGCATACGATACATACCAGTGAGTCCTTAGCAGGGAGGACCGTCAGCGTGAAGCGGCCGTTCGGCCGGAAAGGGTCGGCAGGCCCCAAAATGATCTCCCCTGTTACTACCTGTGGCGCGGACGCGACAGCGGAGTGAGCGGAGGGGCTTCGCACCGCACCGCACTGCACCGCGCGCCACTGCATCATTCTGCACGACCAGCATGGCGACGAGCAGCAGCAGTGCTGAGAGGAAGGAAGGTGGGGTTAGTCAGTGGGAGGATGGACGGGAGGCAGGAGCAGCAGGAGGGGCAGGAGCGGCAGGAGCGGCGGGAGAGGAGGGAGGGGATGAGCTACAGGTGGAGCTATGTGTGGACGTGGGGTCGCCTTACAGCCTCGTGGCGCTCGAAATCCTCCTCAGGTCCTTTTCTCTTAGTCCACTGAGTTTTTTAGCCGTTTTTTCTAATTTAATAGAATACCCCTCTTTCCCATGTGGAGTCAACCCTTGGTGTGCCTTCAGATTGTTCAGAATCTTCTAGATTTTGCTGGGGTCTTTTTTTGTGCGCGCTAGCCCTTTATTGTGCGCGCTGGCCCATGAGCACTCTGTACAGGTGAGGTTCTGTGAGCGCCATCGCCCCTCTCTGCGCACCGCTGCCCCATGCAAGTACCACCACGTGAGGGTCTGCAACTGCTGCTGCGCTTGATGCTGCTAACCTTCCAGTCCACTCACAACTCACTCTCTGCGCCCGCTCCTCCCTTTCCCTCGTCCCTCGTCCCCACCCTCCCCATGCATGCAGGTACCGCCATCTGTGGAACGTCAGACTGCTGTTGCGCCCGGTGCTGCTGGGAGCTATCCTCCGCGCCACAGGCAACGCCATGCCCTCTGCCGTGCCCGCTCGAGGTGGGTAACAGGCAGAGGTGAGTGACTGGCAGAGGTGAGTGACTGGCAGAGGTGAGTGACAGTTCTCCACTGTTGTTGTGCACTCAGCCGTTTTGAATCCACAAGCAACTCAACACCCACCATTCTACTGCACCCCACCCCACCGTCTGCAAGCCATCACTCGCACCTCCCCTCCACCCTTCCTTCCTCTCTCCCCTCCCTCTTCCTTTTTCTCCTTTCCCCCGACCTCCCCCTTCTCCCCCCTTCCTTCCTACCCCCCTTCGCCTCCCGTACTCCCTCCCCTCCCCTCCCCCCCACCAGCCGCATGGCTACAGCAGGGCATGGCGCGAACAGCAGCCGTGGCCTGCCAGTGCGTGCGTGCCAACACTTGCTCGCTCTCCAACCCCCGGATTTCATCCGCCTCTCCCATCCCTTCCCTGTCCCCCCCTCTTTTCACCCACCAGCTACAGGTACAGCAGGACATCACACGCACAGCAGCCTTTGCTGGTCTGCCTGCCTGCCTGCCTCCTCACAGCCTCACACTGTGCCTCCTCCCCCCTTCCCTCCCCCACACCAGGAGCGTGGTTACAGCACGACATGGAGCGCACAGCAGCGTTCGCCCGGCTGCCGCGCATCTCCCCCCCACCGGGCTTCGGCTCGCCGCGCTTCTCCACGCTGCGCTGCCAGCGCCTGCTCACCGCCCTCGCACTGCAACAGGTGCCCTGTCGCTTGCTGCTCGCTCCCCTCTGCACCTTCCACTGCTTGCTTGCTCCCTCTCGCCCGTCATTTCACCCCCATTTCCAGTCTCCCAATCTCTCCGCGCTTTGCTTCCAGCCTGGCCTTTCCTTTGTTCGGAGTTGCTTCTGCATCCTATCTGCTGTGATAAGCCCGAGTCTCTTGTGAAAAGACTCTAAAGCGTCCCACTTGGCCCCCACATGCACCTGCTGTAGATTGTGCTGTGGATTGTGCTGTGGATTGTGCTGTGGATTGTGCTGTGGATTGTGCTGTGGATTGTGCTGTGGATTGTGCTGTGGATTGTGCTGTGCGTCCCTGCCTGCCCATCTTCAACACCATAACCTTTCTGCGTACTCAACTATTTCCACCCTGCTTCCATGTATGTGCCATCATGACATGCCACCCCGCCATGCCATCCCCCCATGCCATGCTGCCATGCCGTGCCATGCCATGCCATATCATCCCGCCATGCCACCATGTGTGAGCAGGGCCATGAATCGCCGCAGCTGCTCGCCCTCACACGCGCACTCTTCAAAGCCATCTGGACCGCTCCTCCTCCCCATCGCCCTCCTCCTTCTACCCACCTCACCTCAACCACCACACATACAGTCCCCATTGCTCCTGCCTCCTCCTCCTCCTCCTCCCCATCGGACATCGCAACCCCATCGCGCACCGACATCGCAGCACCGGCGTTGCTGCGCCACGCGTGCGGCCAGGCCGGCATCCTGCCTGCCCACCAGGACGCGCTGCTGGCTGCTGCTGCCACACCTGCCGTCAAACAGGCGCTTACTGTGAGTTGAGCCGTGAGTTGAGCCATGAGTTGAGCCGTGAGTTGAGCCGTGAGTGCATGCATGCGCACTGTGCCTGTCATTGCCTTACCGCCCTGCCACTAGTCCCGCCAGGCCCACCCACGGTCACTCAAGCACTAGGCATAGTGGCCCTCAAACAGCAATTGACCTGCCTGGTTTTGGGATATTTTGCGCTGCATGGCACCACCACAACTACACATGCCACCTTCTACCCCTAGCACCACCTCATCACCCCCTATCCCCATCCATGCCCCCATGCCTGCAGGCGAGCACCCAGGCGGCCATAGAGAGGGTGGAATTCAGCACGCCACTCTCGCTGTGTCACTGTCACCACCTGTACCTCACCCCCATACTCCACCCTATAATTCCCAATGCCCCCCAGGCGAGCACACAGGCGGCCATAGAAGGGGGCGCATTCGGAACGCCCACGCTCTTCATCCGCCCAACCACTCGCCCCCTGCACCTGCCCACGGGCGCCACGCTCTCCCCCGCGCGCCCTCTCATGCTCTTCGGCTCCGACCGCTTCGAGCAGCTCGCCTGGCTGCTGGGGCTGCCGTGGCACGGCCCCAACCCCCCGCTAGCAGCGCTCTGAAGCACGCTTTTTACCTGGCATGTAGGGCAGCACTCCAGGCCAGCACTCCAGGGCACATGTTTTAGAACAGCGATCTAGAGCAGATATTTGAAGCAGCAGTTTGAAGAGCCCATTGTACAGTGGCTTGTAGACTCATACAGAACCATGGATAGCCCCCTCTCCCTTCCCCTCCCACCACGTCACACTCTCAGCCTGCAACGACTTGGAGCACATACACAGTAAAGAACGCCCAAGCACGGGCCTTGGCTGCTGGGCTCTGTGTGGCGGCGGCGCATACCACCTTGTGGCGGTGGCGCATACCACCTTGTGGCGGCGGCGCATACCACCTTGTGGCGGCGGCGCATACCACCTTGTGGCGGCGGCGCATACCACCTTGTGGCGGCGGCGCATACCACCTTGTGGCGGCTCATACCACCTTGTGGTGGCGCATACGGTACCACCTTGTGGTGGCGCATACCACCTTGTGGCGGCGCATACGATACCACATTGTGGTGGCTCATACCACCTTGTGGTGGCGCGTACCACCTTGTGGCGGCGGCACATACCACCTTGTGGCGGCGCATACCACCTTGTGGCGGCGGCGCATACCACCTTGTGGCGGCGGCGCATACCACCTTGTGGCGGCGGCGCATACCACCTTGTGGCGGCGGCGCATACCACCTTGTGGCGGCGCATACCACCTTGTGGCGGCTCATACCACCTTGTGGTGGCGCATACGGTACCACCTTGTGGCGGCGCATACGGTACCACCTTGTGGCGGCGCATATGGTACCACCTGTCAAACATATGTGTATATTTGTTATAGTTTGGTTAGGCTTAGTGGGGTACTCACTGTGGGGTACAACCCCTTAGGTTTCTCCTTTGTATCTTTTCCCCTCGATAGTCGAGACAACTTTTCCCGTAAGATTATGACATGGTATAGAGCATAGGTCCTTAGGACCTACGATTAGGGCCCACCACGATTGCCTATCTTACCTAGTGCCTACGCGCGCCTCGGCTGCCCGCGCGCGCCTCGGGCGGTCCTTTTTTTTTCCCACGTGCGCCGTCTCAGCAGCACGCTTAGCCCGTTTCGGCCCCGCCTGTACGCCCCTTAAGCCGCCCGTGCGAAACCTGATTAGGCCACGCCAGCGCGGCCCGTCGCCCAGCGTAGCCCGTAGCGTAGCGACCAGCCCGCAGCCGCGCACGTGCGGCCCGTTGCCCAGCGCAGCCCGCAACCGCACGTAGAATGCAGCCGCGCACGCTGTAGCCACGCACAGCCCGCAGCTGCAAGCAGCCCGCAGCTCGCGCAATCCGTCGCCGCGCGTAGCCTGCGGCCGCACGCGCTGCCCGTAGCCACGCGCAGCCTGCAGCCTCGTGCAGCAAGCCGCCACACGCAGCCCTCAGGCCGCTCCTGCCTGCTGCCTGCCGCCTGCCTGCTGCCTGCCGCTCCTGCCTGCCGCGTGCCTGCTGCTTGCTGCCTGCTGCCTGCCTGCTGCTTGCTGCCTGCTGCCGCCTGCCTGCTTGCTGCCTGCTGCCGCCTGCCTGCAGCCTGCCTGCTGCCTGCCTGCTGCTTGCTGCCTACAGCCTGCCTGCCTGCCTGCTTGTCGCCTGCCTACCGCCTGTCTGCAGCCTGCCTTCTGCCTGCCTGCTACCGCCTGCCTGCCTACTGCCTGCAGCCTGCCTGCCTGCCTGCTTGCTGCCTGCTGCCGCCTGCCTGCAGCCTGCCTGCCTGCTGCCGCCTGCCTGCTTACTGCCTGCAGCCTACCTGCCTGCCTGCTTGCTGCCTACTGCCGCCTGCCTGCAACCTGCCTGCTGCCTGCCTGCTGCCTGCCTGCTACTTGCTGCCTGCTCTCGCCTGCCTGCTTGCTGCCTGCTGCTGCCTGCCTGCCGCCTGCCTGCCTGCCTGCTTGCTGCCTGCCTGCTTACTGCCTGCAGCCTACCTGCCTGCCTGCTTGCTGCCTACTGCCGCCTGCCTGCAACCTGCCTGCTGCCTGCCTGCTGCCTGCCAGCTACTTGCTGCCTGCTCTCGCCTGCCTGCTTGGTGCCTGCTGCTGCCTGCCTGCCGCCTGCCTGCCTGCCTGCTTGCTGCCTGCTGCCGCCTGCCTGCAGCTTGCCTCCTGCCTGCCTGCTGCTTGCTGCCCCTGCCTCCTGCCTCTGCCTCCTGCCTCCTACTTGGTGCCTGCTGCCTCTGCCTGCTGCTTGCTGCCCCTGCCTCCTGCCTCTGCCTCCTGCCTCCTACTTGGTACCTGCTGCCTCTGCCTGCTGCCTGCTGCCTGCTACCTCCTGCCTTAAGCCAATATGGCGACGCCTAACGTTCTAGCGTTCGAGCCTGACGGTCGTCCCATCGAGTTCAGTGTATGGTTAGACGATCTCCAACTGTTCCTTCTGACTGATGCCAAAGATGGCGTTTCCCTGTTTGATTACGTCTCTGGCTCTGCCGTTGCTCCTGCTGCTGATGCTCCTGCTCTAGAACGCTCCCAGTGGCAGACTCGTGATGCTGCTGCACGTCTAGCTATTAGGAACCACCTGCCGATTACTGAGCGAGCGCATTTCAGCCAGCACAGAACTGCTCAGACACTGTACGACGCTGTAGTTGCGCGCTACTCCTCCCCGGCCACTGCAGCCATAGGTCGACTCATGCTACCGTACCTGTTCCCCGATCTTTCCTCGTTCACCACTGCTGTGGACCTAGTTTCTCACCTGCGCGCTACTGACTCTCGCTTTTGTGCCGCCCTTTCAGCCGAGTTCTGCGCCGCAAATCCCCCCCCGATGTACTTCACTCTCTATTTCCTCGTCACCCGCCTCCCTGACACTCTTAGCTCTGTCAGGGACCACTTCCTAGCGCTAGACCCCACCACTCTCACTGTAGATGACTTCGAGAAGCACCTCCTCGCAGCAGAGAAGAACATCCTCGCTGTGGCACTCCTCGCTCTCCCCTCTTTGAGGGGTGCTCCCCCTCCCCTCTCACCCCCTCCTACGCCTCCGCAGCTGCTGCTCACGACTACCTTGGTGCTGAGGGGGTCGGAGCTGCTTCCGCTCCCAGTGGGAAGCGTCGCAGCGGCAGGGGCAGCAGGGGTGGCAGGGGCGGTGGGGGTGGAGGTGGTGGAGGTGGTGGAGGTGGAGGCGGTGGTGGGGGTGGTCGTGGGGGTGGAGGCGGTGGAGGTGGTGGTGGGGGCGGCGGAGGCACTGGGAGCGGTGGAGGCGGCAGCAGCGGAGGTGGGGGAGGAGGGAGCGGTGGTGGCAGTGGTGGTCAGGGCCAGCAGCAGCCGCAGCAGCAGCAGCAGCCGCAGCAGCAGCAGCAGCATCAGCGTCAGCGCCAGACCCCCACTTCCCAGCAGCTTCTTGACTGGTATGCCGGGCGTGGGGCTTCTGGGGGTCCTGGTCGCTGCCCCTATATCATCCGCACAGGTCCCCGCGCTGGTCGCCAGTGCACAGGTTTTCACACTGAGCAGCGCTGCTTCGCTCGGCTTAGCGACGCCTGGCGCGCCAAGTTTCCTGATGCTACTGAGTTCCCCAACTGGGCAGACTTGCTTAGGCGTGATGTACCTATCTTTGATCTTGACTATGAGGCAATTCTTGCTGCTATGTATGCCTTGTCTGTTAGTGCTGAGGGTGACTGCTACTTGTGTGTGCCGCCGGATCCTGGTATAACCCCTGGTATAGCCCCTGCAGCACTAGGTGCTTGTGAGTCTGCTCCCCTTGGTACTGCGCCTGCACAGGCTTTGCACACCTTTACACTTGACTCTGGTGCTTCCCGCTGTTTCTTTCGCGACAGTACCACAGTCACTCCCCTCCCTGCACCTGTTCCTGTCTCACTGGCTGACCCCTCTGGGGGCCCAGTGCTTGCACGGTCTTCCACTGTGCTTCCGTGTCCGGCGGTCCCGTCTGGTGAGCTGTCTGGTCTCCACCTCCCCTCGTTCTCTACGAACTTGGTGAGTAACGCTGTCCTCCAGGATGCGGGGGTTGACACCTTCACCCCTGGCCGGCAGCGTGTGGCGATTTGCACGTGCTCCCAGACTGGTCGCCACCTGGCCACGTTCGCTCGTGCGCCGGGGTCCAGTCTGTACACCCTCACCACTGCGTCACGCTCCGTCCCTTTGTCTCCCCAGTTGCACGCGTCTGCTCAGGTAGCTACACAGTGTGAGTGTCACCGACTGTCGCACGACACTCTCCTGTGGCACCACCGCCTTGGTCACCCCTCCCTGCCTCGCCTACGCAGCATGCACTCCCGCCTCCTGGTTTCTGGGCTTCCCAGGTCTCTGCCTCCCCTCCCTCCCTCGCCTGCGCCGCCCTGCATTCCCTGCGTCGAGGGGCGGCAGCGCGCCGCTCCTCACTCCTCCTCGTTCCCTCCCACAGAGGCTCCACTGCAGACTCTCCACCTGGACGTGTGGGGCCCAGCCCGCGTCTGTGGACAGGGCCACGAGCGGTACTTCCTGCTGGTTGTCGACGACTATGCGCGCTACACCACGGTCTTCCCCTTGCAGCGCAAGGGGGATGTCCCTGATGTTTTGATCCCCAGGATCCGCGCTACTCATCTCCAGCTCCGCGAGCGGTTCTAGTCGGACTTTCCTGTCCTGCGTCTGCACTCTGACAGAGGTGGTGAGTTCTCCTCAGACCTCTTGGCAGCCTTCTGTGCGGAGCACGGCATCTGCCAGACTTTCACGCTTCCGGCCTCTCCTCAGCAGAATGGGGTTGCTGAGCGCCGCATTGGCTTAGTCATGGAGGTCGCTCGTACCTCCATGATCCATGCGGCTGCCCCCCATTTTCTGTGGCCGTTTGCGGTCCGGTACGCCGCGCATCAGCTCATTCTTTGGCCCCGTGTCTCCTTGCCGGAGACCTCGCCCACACTGCTGTGGACGGGGAAGGTTGGCGACGCGTCGCGTTTCCGGGTCTGGGGTGCTCGTGCCTTTGTCCGCGATACCACCGCGGACAAGCTCTCCCCTCGCGTCATTCCTTGCGTCTTCCTTGGCTTTGTCCCTGACGCGCCTGGCTGGCAGTTTTACGACCCCGCCTCGCGCCGT